GCCCGCCGCCGAGCCGTTTTAATAATGGAAACCTTCTAAATCTTCAGCGCCACGACGCCCTTTAATATTTACCGCGATCGGCTTAAAGTTGCACGAAGGGTGCCCTCGTCTCGCGGGGACCACCGACGTGCGCCAACTTCCTTCCTTCCTTCACTCTTCACCAAGCCTTCTTCTTCAGAAGGAACCTCACCCTAAACCCAATAAACTACCTCACTTTACCTAAATTGCATTATTACATAACAAAGTATGAGTGTATGGAGTAGGATCAAATAGCAGCCATAAAAAGCTTGATACATTTCAAATGCTGCAATCGTTTAGTATAATAAATATTATTCAAAATATATCAATTTGATTTTGACTTCCGGATTTGAAGTATTATATAACAATTATAATAGAAAATATTTTTAATTTATTATTTTCAAAATTAATCTTATTCAATAATTTCACTTTCAACAAAACTTCAATTTAGTTCGGCTACGATCAGTCCGCATTCACTATAGGCCGGTTTGAAAATTTCAAAACAAACTAAATTATAATTGACAAAATAAAAATAAATTTAAAAAAACAGTTTTTATTTTATGTTTTTTTTTTCAATTATTTCAGTTCTACAAAGTATTTTACTCTATAGCTTAGAGATTATATTGAAATATTTTGTTTAAAAAATATACTAAATATACTAAAATTATGTCTATTCAACTGTTTCAATTCTGCATTCTAGAGTAGCTAAACTACTTATAATAAATTCCGATCTATTAATTCATAATAATTATTATTGAAGCAAAAAAAAATATCCACTTCAACTACGCATTTCAATATACACTAACAAACAAAAAAACCACAAAGTATCAATTTGTCAATGAACATTTTTCTGAAAAATGTACTCAACTTTATTTATTAATAATCATTCGGAAGGAACAAAATAAAATACGCACGTAAACGAGGAAATATGAGTTTATCAATGGAACTGAATACTTTTCTTTTATCAATATTATTAGAGAACGAGGAAAAACGAAAATGATTTTCTACGATGGATATGTATTTATCAATGAGACTATACAAATAGTCTTCGAGTGGACGTTTTATTTCGTTTCATCTGTTTTTTGTTACAACTGTAATACTTCAGATTTGTTTCAACTTATTATGTAATTTTCAACTATACTTGAGTTATACCTCGGAACCGGACTATGCTAAAATATCAGACTGTTCGAAACCGTTGAATTTCTACAAAAATCCATTACAAATTTAGATTTTATATAGAATTTACAAAACTGAGAAAAATTCATTATCTTGCTCTATCAGCAAAACTCTATTATTATTTAATTTCAAATAAACGTTTTTTGAAATGAAAACAAATATATAATTATTAGTTTTTTTTTCTTATTGTGAGAGATTAACGAAAACAGTATATATTTTAATTTGTTCAAATTCTGATTATAAAATACGCAAACTTCGCAGCTATGATTTAATTGGTTCACTTTAAATATGAGATAATAATTAATTGAAATAATATGATTGTGTAAAACGTACACATTTATCATTGAAAACAGATTTTGTTTTGATAGTATGTTGCAAGATGTACATGTGATTGTTGAATAGCATCATACATTGCCGATGCTGCAAGAGCGTATTCATAAATATTATGTCTGCAATATCACACGACCTCTCAACTTTAAATTAATCAAACATGAATCGTGGTTATTTTCCAATACTGATTGACATATATCCACATTTTATAGTTCAAAGAATTATTGTATGTTGAATAATGAATTTATAGAATAAAGATAGATGAGGTTATCAAATATTAATAAAATGTAAAAAAATCCTTAATACATATGACAAATATAAATGATAATTAAAAATAAACTTAAAATACAACAATAGCTTGCAAAATGCTGGTAATTAATGTCGCCTATATCCCGGACTGTTTGAAATCTGAATAATCGAGGATCTAAATCGTACTATAATGAATCCGCACTGATCGAAGTCATTCGGTAATTTAATTTGTAATTGAGAAGAAAATTAAAAATCAAAACTTTTATGATCTATAAACCTTTTGTCATCTTTCACGTAACTTAAACATTACATCCACCCAGAATTTATTAGGTTTTTCATCAAAAAAAAACTTCTTCAGGTGGTTTTTTATGTCCACTGAAAATTAATCGTTCTTGCAGTTAATGGAAATTTGAAAATACCAAAATTTGTGGAAATCGGAAAGTGCAATGTCTGGTGAATACTACGGGTGGACAAATACAATTCCAACTACTTTTATTGAGTAGTAAAAGAAATATAAGGGATGATATTGTCCGTTAAATTGTTCAAAACTCATATATCTTAACGGTTTATGTAAGCAAGCTTCAAAAACGTTCGTCGATAGATGTTTTGGATATATTTAATATCTCTGCTCATTCACGTGTCATGTACTATGGGGTATTCTCGATCAATGTCTTGATTTCATCATTATTACTAATAGAACTTTCAGACTGAAATCATCAGCTCGAAATTTTGAGAATTATGTTTCTAAAGTTTATTTAGCTAAAACAACTTCTCCGTAAACAGAAAATATCTTAGTTATTTCTTTAGTGACATGTTTGGCTTTATAGTAATAGAAAAGTATCAACGTGTAAAATGCACTGTGTTTTCCTTCATCTTTACGAGGGTACTAAATGTGTTTCATTTGATCTAAACCAAAGTATTTTCTAAAAACGATAGAAATCTCACTTTTTAGTATATTCATCTACAATTCATCTACATGATGTACCATTCACAAAATTGACTTTTTTACTTTAACATTTAAATTGTACAAATGATTTTTTTTTAAATATGTGAGTTATAATTTCATCAGGAATATATAGAAAACATTTACATGTTGCTTAAAGGAATACCAAATAAGTGGAAGAAATCTTAGATCGCAACGTCTATGAGTCATCGACACCTACCAAAACAATGGTGATATAATGTAAACATTTGGTGCAATCTTTATAATGAATACGAAATTACATTAAGAAAACAATTCATTCTATAACTATTATAATTTTCTTTCTATAGAGTCTATAGTATAGACCATTGGTTTTTCTGCACCTGAATTCATAATTTACCAAAAAAATATTAAATCTAAAATTTAATTAATTTTTATTCCACTTTATATTATTTTTTTATTCAATTATCCTAACGTGTTGGTGCATTTATTTATTTTTACAATAGTTGGACGTTTTTTTTTATTATTATTTTTATGTATAATAAAATTATGAGAGTTCTAAAGTTTGTTGACTTTTGGATCCAAAAACAATCAATTTATTTGATGTTTTTAGTACCAAAAATAATTATCATTATTATCTCAATTGTTCAAGAGTAAAAATTTTTACATGTGTGAATTATTGAACGCAACAATCAAAATGTTACGTATTACACAAATTGGAAACTAAAGGAAAATACCCTAGAACTATCAAACCCGATAACAACTACACAACAACAACAACAAAAAGTGTACTTCGATTGTCGTGCCACATAATTATTGTGCGTAATTTGAATAGGTATCAGCAGCAACGACTGTTTTCACTCGTTTTTTCCACAAGAGTTCTGGAATAGTTTAACGAACTAAAATCGGCACCGACGATGACGTAGACCGCTCCTCTACCTCTGCCGAAGTGTTCACCGGTTTATATAAACGCCGCTTGCTAGAACCGGGGACGCCAATTTCGTTTCGCGTACGGCTTTGATCAGTTACGTAACAAACGAACTGCAACATATATATTTTGTTAACCAAATATTCGTTTCAAAAGTGAATAATTTCTTTGCAAAGATGTCTTTGAAATTCGTTTTTGTTCTCCTCCTCATCGTAGGGATTGCCACATCCAGACCTAACAACAACATCGAAGGTATGCAACTTCAACAATTACTAATCAAATAAATTTAGTAACTTTATTACTTATAGGGAAGTCATTAAATCAAATTACAATTTTTAATTAACATTAACTTAAATTACTCATGAAATATCTTTTAATAATAACCGAATTTTTATACGTTTTTAATTTTTTTTTGCCTTTTCTAAATTCTGAATTGTAAAGTAAAAACTATTGAAAACATCAAAGAAAAAGGAGTAACCATCAGAAAGTGATTCATTATAGTACAGTTTGAAAAATTCAAGACAAACGAGTCGTTTCGTACTGTTTATTTTTATGCTGTTTTAAAGACCTCGATTAGTCCGGTTTGAAACAGTACGGGATATTGGTAAAGATTTGCTGTATTATGAATCCGCCCTGATTGAAGTCGCACTGTGCGAGATCATTATTTGATTGATTATAGTAAAGTTTGAAAATTTCAAAACAAACGAGTCGTTTTGTGTTGTATAGTTTTATGCTTTTTTAAAGTCTTCGATTAGTCCGGTTTAAAACTGTTCGAGGTATTTATGAAGTTATTCTGTATAATGAATCCGCACTGATCGAAGTCGCACTATTCGAGGTCAATACCTGATTCATTATAGTACAGTTTGAAAAATTCAAGACAAACGAGTCGTTTCGTACTGTTTATTTTTATGCTGTTTTAAAGACCTCGATTAGTCCGGTTTGAAACAGTACGGTATATTGGCGAAGTTTTTCTGTATAATGAATCCGCACTGATCGAAGTCGCAATATTCGAAGTCAATACCTGATTCATTATAGTACAGTTTGAAAATTTCAAAACAAACAATTAATTTCGTGCTGTTTTAAAGCCCTCGATCAGTCCGGTTTGAAACAGTGCGAGATATTGGCGAAGTATTTCTGTATAATGAATCCGCACTAATCGAAATTGCACTATGCTATGTTTAAAAATTTCAAAACAAACGTGTCATGTCATTTTGTGCTATTTGATTTAAAGTTCTCGATCAGTCCGGTTTGAAACAGTGCGAGATATTGTCGAGATATTCCTGTATAATGAATTCGCACTGATCGAGGCCGCACTATGCGAGGTCAATACCTATACTAATATTTAAAAAATGTTTTAGTAAAATTTAATCATTGAAGAAATAAATTATGTAAAGACAATCAAAATATGTTTTTAATAAATGTGAAGTCAATCATGAAAATATTAATTCTTAACATAAAATATCTGTTTTCGATCAATCCGTATTTACAATGATAGTAATAATTAATACACACATTTTTATATACATAAATAATCTTTTTTTTTTTCCTTTGTACAGTCAAATCTCTTTTTGTACTGTTTATTTTATATGTATTTAATTTCTTGATTAGTCTGGTTTCAAATAGTCCGGTTGAATAAGATCACTAAGACCGCACTATATAAACCGAAAACTCTTAATAATAATAATAACAATGAAAGAAAAAGTTTGTACCACTTTTATTCTATAGTCAAAAATGTATACATTTTCGTTTCCAGATTGATTTTTAAATATAAACTTTACAGTAAAAGAAAATTCACAATTTATCAAGTTTTTTTTTTAAATAATTGCAATATAATAAAATAATACAACTATACGAAATATTGAATGACAGAAACTATACATAAATATCAATTGCAGAATAATTTTCATTACAAATCCATTTTACCTATTTCGTTCATTTTATATTAAAAAAAAAACACGTTTTTAACATTGATTAAACCTTGTACCAATTATTTTATACCATTTACGAGTTAATTCAAATGAAGGAACCACTTATTACAATGTATGCAACTAGACCAACCTTATCAACGTCATTCTTGAAAATACATTTAAATAAGATAACATTTGTATACTTAATTTATTTATTTTCTGTAGTATAGTAACTATCAATTGTATCATACAATGGAAATGTTAAAATAAATTATTGATTTCTATTGGATTAGTTTAATAAGTATTAATTTAGTGCGGGTAAAAGGTTCAGCCAAAATACAAGACTAATCGAGGACTTTAAAACCTCATAAAATTAAGACGTAACTGTATAAAAATGAAGTCTTAGTCTAGTCTGTAAACTATATTTACTTTTATTTTGCTGAATTAAAATTTAGATTGCTTTGAAATTTTGAAACCCGATTATAATGAATTCGATATTTGCATATTTTCATGTGATAAAATCAAATACACACAAAGATAGGTACTTTTTTAAATTGTTGTTTTCTATTGGATAGATTAATAAGTATGAATTAATGTTACTAAACGTAAATTCTGCTGATAAAAGCAATCCAAGTATGCAATATTCTTGTATACTTTCGTAACCGGACGCGAGCTAAGTCCGCTAAATGTTTATACGATCGTAGCCGCAGGATGCAACAGTTTAATAAATAATGTATTTTTAGAGAGATTATTTGAATTGAGCGCTAATCAAATATACGTGCATTATCGGATTTGCGTAGTCTTAGGTTTGGTTTCCTATCAATGTTATAAACATGAACTTGCAAGTTTCCAAATAATGTCAATAAAATATAATAAAGACAACGACAAAACTGAACTAAATATCTTTCTGTTTGATTTCAGTTCCAGAGAGCGTGGATTTGGGTACAAAGTGCAAATTGCCAGCATACAAAGGTCACTGCAGAGCTCTGATTCCTCGATGGAGATACGATCCGGAGACGCAGAGCTGTAAGGAGTTCAAGTATGGTGGTTGCAATGGCAACGGAAACAATTTTTTCACCTACGAGATGTGCATGGAAACGTGCGAAGGAATCCAATAAAAAAAAAGAGACTCTGCTAAACTTGCGGTCTTTCCGCTCGTCTTTAACATATTCGGTATTCTACGTGTCTAGTCCTTATTGATAAATTACATTTACATTAGTTTTAACGTTTATTTAATGCAAATATCATCATTTCTGTGTAAGTTTATTTAATTATTGTTTTTTAAATAAAATATTTATATTCATATATTTCTACTTTTATTTTGAATGAAATCCCTGAAAGGATATTTGTTATAATCTTAATCTAAACTCACGTTTATAATAAGATTATAGAATAAGTTAAAAACTTACCAATATTAAGCAAGGTATGAAACTCATCAATAAAATTTTATTTACAAAAGAAGAAATATTACTTAAAATACAATTTCTTGTATATAATGTAAAAAAAAAGTGTCGATTTAATTCCGTTTGAGATGGATATTATAAATATTGATTCAATTATGACTTTGATTTGATCATCACAAATTTTAGTAGGTTTATGTTGATCATCTTTGAGTGAAAAATATCTAAAAGGGATTTTTTAAACCAAATTTGACACGTGCATTATGTTAAACAATAAAAATCATAAACTTCAAATATGAGCTTTCTTACCTTTTTAGGAAATAAAATTTGTTGAATATGTCTAAAAATTGAGTCTAAACTAAAAGTGACATCTTTGAAATGACAAAACAAAACGAAAAACTCATAACAATGACAGAAGTCCTTTAAACCTGTCAAACCGAAATTACCTTCTTGCCAACCAAATTTTATTCATTTCGTAAACATTAATAATATTTAATATGCTTTGGCCCAAATTGCTTCCAATACAACTTTTTTTTTGTCACTTTTTATTTACAAACTATTCCACTGAACATTTATCAAATCGGTTCAGTGGCAACATTCCATGACGTTTGTATATAATATTGCTATTGTCCAGAAGGTTGATCGCTGGCAACCTCTTCCACTGCTTTTAGATTCCAAGGTGCAGTCTCTTATTGGTGATGTACCATGGTGCATCCGCGATTCTTCTAACACATTTAGATTGGAATACTTGGATTTTTTTTAATATTAGTTGAGCTTGCTGTTCCCCATAATTGGATACCGTATGTCCAAACTGGTTTTAATATGACTTTGTACACTAGCAACTTGTTTTCCAAAGTCAACTTCGAATTTGCGCACAGCAAAACAATTTCAGACATAACTGCACAAAGAGCGGCAAATTCAAATCTTACATTAATTTTGGGACACCCTTTATATCTTTTTAGATTTAGTTTTTCCTTTTGTTCATTGAAACAAAAAGAAATCATTAAAATTCAATAATAATATGACTAATTTATAATTCTTGAGCATTGTCCATTTATATAAATGACATTCTGATAATGACATTTTCATATTCAAAATAATTATATTTGTTTTGTCCATTGCAATGTTTCCGAAAAAAAAAACGTAATGATTGAAAGTTATTGGATAAATATTAAGTATTTAACAAATTTCGTAAAGTATTTAATATTATGTGCTTGAACTTCATGAAATGCCAGTCTATTGTTAGACCTTTTCCTAAGCTAGAGTTAGAGAACAGTAAGATTAATAAAAAAAAACTATCTGATGTAAACATATTACATAAGAGATTAAATTACGCGTACTTCTCGCTATTCTTCAAAAACTATACAATTTGCTTGCATTAATAGAAGTTATTTAGTACGAATTTTAATTTAAGAAAAAAAAAACATTAATTTAAATGCCCCCGGATTCATTATTATTTGAAAATTTTAAAAGAAACTAAATTTTAATTCTTAATAAATAATACTTTTGTATTTGTATTGAGTTTTTATTTTGTAATTGAGTTTGTAATTTGTTCTGCTTCAATAAATATTATTATTAATACGTATATTTTTGTTGATTTCTTAATTATTGTTTTTATTTTCCTTTATTTGGATATATTTCCTCGATTAATCTATTGTCAAACAGTACGGGATATTGGCGACATCGCAATATGAGAGGTTTTGCTCTTAGAATTCACGAGAAAACTAAATATATCTTAATATATCGTATGTGAAATTTTGTATGCAAAAACATATATAAACATATTACACAGCAAAGATGTATGTACGTATGCAAATTTTTGTGACTCACAGAATTTGAAAAGTGCGCGCAATTGCGTAACTATGACTGTACACGAAAACAGAACATCGAAATCAGTCGTTGACAATGTCCATAGATTTAAAGATTATCAACAATGGCTGTGGAACTTATGTAAGTGGTGGCATAGGTGTGAAGCTATTTGAAGAAACAGCAAATTAGCATTGGCTATAACAAACAGACGGTTGGTCATTGGCTTCAAACTTTCTCTCTTGCGAGGTGCGCGTGTTTTTTTTTATTGTTAGCTCTGCGAAAGAAACACCAAAATTAGGTATGCGATGCGTGGATGAAGCGATGAAGCTGATGATGATGTGTATGTGTGTGTGGCGGATTAAAATGGTCCACTGTTAAATGTAATCAACGATGCTCGTCGGAGCCGCAGTAATTTGATAAATGGTCATACTGCATGTCAAACTCAGGAGTTTTGATATAGCGTTTTTGGTAATATAATATATAGTAAAAATTTGTTGGGCGAAATTATTAGATTGCCTTCGTTGTTGCTGTTTGTTTGGTAGTTCGGTTCGGTCTTTCAGGTAGAATGAGGGTGGATACCGGACTTCATCCCGTTTTCCATTTAACAGCCTGACTGACTTTCCTACACTCGATTTCCCAAATTACAGAATATGCCCCACATCCCAACGTCATCCTGTATATATCTTCATTACTACCCGAAAACGATATTTCAACGTTATCCCACATTCGGGTCCTCACGCGCTCATCAAAAACCAAGATTTCCATCATGCAATCATCACCTATTTTAATCATTACCGCTAGCTATTCCTATCCATTATTCGCACGTCACTTCTATTAACGAACCAACAAATAAATACAATAAATACAGATTTTGACTGCGCCAGATTGCGCGAACGCATAATTAAATATTGAATAATCTACACATATAAATCAGAATTGTATAACACAATTTTACTACAAATCAAAACATATTTATTTCTAGAAAATAATTTACTCATAACCAATACAAAATGCGAAATTTAATTTATATCCGTAAAATTAAATAAAATACTATAACTATATTAGTAGAACTAAAAATTTAGAAAAACTTTTTAAAAGAAAGTATCAAAGATAAGTAAATTATAATAAATAAGTAAATAAAAATAAAGTCCGTAAAAGGTCACTAAGGAATGTTAAGTTTTAGTTAAAATATGGTTGAATTTTGTACTAAAAAAAGAAATTGACATCCAAATTTGAATAAATAGGTTTCGATAAAAAGGATCTTAATAATTTATTGAATGCAGAAGATTACACCGTTGTTCCCAAAACCGAACTACTGCCGCACAAATACTCCAAAGAAGTCTGAATAGCATCGAACATTGGTTCAGAAAGTGGAGAATCCAGGGCTAATGGAACTAAGTCGGTGCATGTAACGTACACAATGAGTCAACAAACTTGTCCACCCATTACACTGAATGATACTTGGCATGCATCTGGATCGTCGATTCACCTGGAAAAAAACATATCACGACAAAAAGAAAACTAACAGCTGGGACTGACAGTAAAACGATTGCATTGGCTGATGGGTAGGTACTCATCCATCTCAGCTGAAAACAAGGTTTTAATATACAAAACAATTATAAAACCGTTATGGACTTACGGATTACAACTGTGGGGATCTGCTTGTAATACAAGTATTGACATCATACCAGTGAAAAACGCTCAAAGCAATTGCCAATGATGCCTGGTTCCCGATTAACGAGTACATACATCAATACACTAGAGTCAGATTTGTGAAGGATGAGATAACGGAACTCAGCAGCAAATACCAACATCGGCTGGAGGACCATACAAACCAACTTCTAACACACACTGAATCTCATCAACGAATATTGAAACGATTTAAACCACAGCACCTCCCTAAGTTAGTGTTAGTGATATCTAAATTGACAATAAGACTTTGCCTATATGTGTTTGTGAGGTTTTCTTTTATAAGCATTCTGTGGAGTTTAGTCGCTGGATCAATCTCTAACATATATTTTTATTTTTTCATTAATTAATCTAGAACTAAAGCTTGTATATAGTGTGCCAGGGACGAAATTCTGGATACAGTGGAATATTGTCTGTTGGTGTCGTTGTGGTGTTTCAATAGTTGGAAATTTAACGAAATTCGTTTGGTTTTACATTCGTTACTTGGTCTATGCTTGGTCTATACTTACAAAGTTAATTCTTATTAATACGAGATTGGAGTTGTGACCGGGAGTAGGGTTTGTATATATTGATGATTAAGCGTTCCCGCGGGATTGGCCTTAGTGGTTTTGTTTATTATAAGACCGGAACAAAATCCTATGCATTTGTTTATATGAAAAAGATGATCGATTACGATTGTACGTGTAAGGATCATTATGTGTTTATAATAAGGACTTGAATTCGGAGTAAAGGTATATAATTATCGATGGGAAGGTTTACGCTTGATCCCCTTTGTTTATATTAAACTGTATGGAACTGGAATCACGATAGAGATTCCTTTATGCTGATGTATATGTTTATATAATGATGCGACTAAGAGATGTCTCTAGTTCGTTAATACATTATATTAACAACAACAATTATTATAATAATAATGGTTGGACACAACAACAGATTGCTTTGTAAAATAACAAATAAGATTATGGTTTTTCAGTAGAATATTTAGATAAAATTGTTAGCAACAAAGACAAAAGAAAATTGTACACTCAAAGAACATCACACAAACTGAATTGACTATTTGTTAATGGCCTTTTTAAAGGAAATCACCTAAAATGAAAATTCTACAACACAAACTATTCACATGATACAAGCAACAAATTTTCAAAAAAAAACTCATCTTTTAATGCTACATGAAGTAACATATTAAAATATAGGTCTTAATTAAATGTTCTTGCTGGTTCAACTTTATTGTTTCGTCCTAACAAATTAATCTCTTGTTTTTGTGTCTGAACGAAACTAATTACGAACCTAAGTTAATAACGCTCTATTTCCGTCATATACATGACATACTTAATACAATAGAAAGTTAATTTCAGTGAAACCATGCTTTTTGTAAAACCATTTCAGAAATGTTAATTTGTTATCTATTAAAGCAATTACAATGTAAGATTAATGAAAATTTTAATTAACTTAAACTTTAAATCAAAAACAACATAAATCATGTCAATAATATTTCATTTTTAGGAACAATAAATAAATGTTCATCATATTACAAACAGTAAGTATTTGTAACAGATTATGCAATTAAACTAGAAATTAATAAACTAGAAATGTTTGGAATATAATAACACAATGTTATATAATTTTTCATTTATAATTTTCAATTATACTAAGAATATTAATATAATAATAATAATAATAATAATAATTTATTGGCCAAACATAAATACATTAGAAAAAAAAGTACATTCTAAAGGGCTAACGTAAGAATATTAAATTAATTGATTTAATATTTTTTTTTAGATTCGAAAAATATATTTATTTAAAACGTAATTAAATGCAGAAACATAATTAATTAATATAAATTATTGTTAATTTATTAATAACGTAATTATATTTGATATATTAACATTGGTTTCCTTCTTCGTGTTATTTCCCCTCAACCTTTCAACTACAGGTATCCCCCGACTCCAAACAAAAATTGGTAATTTCTTTAATAAAATATAATATTTTTGGAAGATGTACTCTATCTGTTTTGTTGCATTTGTTTCTTTTGTCGTTTTTTATAAGATATTTGTGATGTCTACATTGAAAAGTATTTGTAAGTAAGTATTTTGTTTATTTTAATCTATTTTTTCAAATTTAGGCTGTCAATAAAAACCATAATAAAGTGTGTTAAGATAAGTATATTTTGAATTTTTTTTTAAATTCCCCCGATTTACGAACAACCCTTTGGAACGGAACTAGTTTGTGAGTCAAGGGACACCTGTATTATAGTCTTCATAGTCTACTGCAGATGTATGTTGAGTTGCCTATATTATTCACCACGTGCTTTAAATAGACCTGACAGTTCCTTTATTTTGACAGAACACAAGTTTGTAGCGTAACCTAAAAATAATGATTAATACTTCCTAGTTTTGAAACGTAAAAGCAGTATAAGTGATGAGTGTATTCCACGACGAAATCGAAATAGAAGACTTTGAATACGACGAGGAAGAAGAAACCTATTACTATCCATGTCCATGCGGGGACAGGTTCCAAATAACTAAGGTAGTTGAAGAACATTTAGAGGTTATGTGTCGATTCTAAACGTAATTTGAAAATTTGTAGGAGGAACTGCTGGAAGGTGAGGAAGTGGCCACTTGTCCCAGCTGCTCCTTGATCATTAAAGTAATTTATGATCCTGAAGACTTTGAGGCCGCCAATTCAGAGGTGCAGAACGTTGTGGACAGTTTAAAGAAGTTGGAAGTGAACTAATTTGAAAATGAGCAGGGCCGGTCGAGGAGGAGGCCGCGGTGGCTTCACCAAAACCAACCCCCAGTTTGCTTCGCTTGGTGTGAACTCTGCAGAAGGAGCCCCCATGTTAGTTACCCAACCACCCCCATTATACCCATTACTAGCCCGCAGACCTGTACCATTAACAGTAAATGAAATCAACAATCCATTGAAACACAAATTAACAGATTTTTTTTTAGCAATCATCAGATCTGGATTATTTGGTTGTGCTAAGGCAAGATTACATAGACCATATGCAATTATCTTCGTCGTTTCTGAAGAAGCCACAAACTGGAACTGAATCAACTAATGAAATTGATAGACTGTTGTCACAATTGCCACAAACTAAGGGACAGTATGAATGGAATTTGTTGCCAGCGGAACTGCGACCGAAAGTCCTTGCAAAGAGAAACAAAGTGAATGCGGTTTCTAAAAACGTTGATATACAAGAAACGTAAGTTTTTGTTTTGTTTATTTAATGATTTTAGATTAATTTATTCTTGCTGTAACAGGTTATTTAAACTGGAGAAAATGGAGAGTGAAGGTGCAGAAGAGACGAAAGAAAACGAGGCTGCAGAAGACGACGAGGAAGAATTGAAGCTTTCCGAACCGGAGGACGAAGAGATGGACGATGGGACAGATTATGCAAATAACTATTTCGATAATGGTGAAGCGTATGAGGACGAAGAAGATAATTTGGACGATGGACCTGTGTATTAATTAAATTATATTGAATAGAAATATATTTTATCTAAATTCATGCTATTATTGTGTTTCATTATTTTCTATATTTTATCTTAAACAAAGGTAAAAACAAAATTTGTTACTTATTAATAATTGCAATATGTTTATAACATATTCAATTTTAATTAAAAAAATACTGTAAATAAATATAAAATATATTGCAACTTGATGACATAAAAGTTGCCTATACTATTTTACAGTAATATTCTATATCTTAGCAATAAATTACATACAAAGTATCTTATGATCGTCAGGATATTTAAACTATAATTTAAAATTAAATTAGTTAACAATTAACATTGCTAATTAGTATTTATTGCGATTTAAAGAACTTTAATTGATATCGCGAATATACGCAATTATTTTACATCGGCTCGTTGGTCTAGGGGTATGATTTTCGCTTCGGGTGCGAGAGGTCCCGGGTTCAAATCCCGGACGAGCCCATGGGGTAAACTTTTTATTGTTGTTAAATAAAAATGATTATTATTGACTATGTCCTTAATGTGGAAACCCTACAAATTTCTTAACGAAGTGTCAGAAATCATTGGAAATGTAAGAACTCTAATTGAACGATATTTTATTCCATTTTTATTATTTCCTGTTCCTTTGTCAAAATCGATTTATAAATTAACAATTATGTATACACAGTTATGATCTATATACTTTTCATCATCTACCAATGCTATTGAAGCATTCCATCCTTCCAGAATTTATAAGGTTTTTCCAGGTGGTTTTTCATGTCGAGAAAAATTAAATGTTCTTGTAGTTAAGGCAGCTTTGCAAAGGCATGAATAAGTAAAAGTCTGTGCAAATCAGGTTAAATTTTCATGTAAAGTTAATTTGTTTAGGTTTTTCTTTAATAAAATCTTAATGCTTTCTTCTTCATTAATTCATTCATCAATTTCACTAGTTACCATCCCTTGATCCAATGGAAATAAAAGAGAAAAAAAAATGGGCTACCGTAAACTGTTTTGAAGTTATTAAAGTATGTTTTACCTTTATCTGCTCTCATGGTTTTGTGCCAGGATTACCACACATTGATCTCCTGGATTATGGATCACCAGGTACTGATGGTACATAGCTTTTCAGAATGGGAATTATAATAACCCTGTTCCAAGAGTCAAGAACATTTCCAGAGGACAAGATGTTGTTGAATAATCGAATCTCAGTAACAACTCCAATTCTGCCAAACTGATGGAGTTGTCAAGATAGTAGTCCTCATCATATACCTTAACTAACAGAAATTGGGGTTTCTTTGGTGTTAGATTTCCGAGGAACATGTCTCTCCAGAAATTTTCAAGGAAGAAATTGATTTTGATGTGTTTCCTTCGTTCCATTGTAATATTCTTCAAAACCTCCACTGAGGGAGTTTATCAGAAATTTCTGAAGCTTTCCCTCTTCTTTCTTTTTAACAATCCGCGAATCTCTGCCATCACTTGTACGTTACCATATTTTCCAACGGTTTTGAGTGGTGGAAGATTCTGAGGAATCAGCTTCTCCTGATGCGACGAATTCCTCTTTCAGATCCTCCTCTGATGAAGCTGTGGTTTATGCTAATTTAATGGTTTCTTCAAGTTTTTGGCTTCGTATTCTCGTTTTGGTACTTTGATGAAGTGAATTAATTGTCGTGTCCCAGGGATGGAATTCTGGACACAGTGGAATATTGTCTGGTGTTGTCGTTGTGAAGTCTCAGTTGTAGGAATTAAATAATTCAATTGGTTTTAAACAAGTTTATTATAATGATTGGTACTCTTTCCAAGGTTTTGCTGAGACTATGCTCATCATATTAACGTTTTACTGAGACTGATTCTATTATAATTGTTATTATTAATATATTGTATTGACGAACTAGAGACATCCAAGGCGTCTCTTATTCGCATTATTAATGTATGTATTAATAAAACCTTCAAAGACTGATATAGTCTCAGTAAAACCTTAATATGACGAGCATAGTCTCATAAAAAAGCTAAGACGAGCATAGTCTCAGCAGAAGACCAAGTAACGAATAAAGTTATGTATAACCAAACAAATTTCATTAAATTCCCAACTATTGAGACAACGACAACACCAGACTATATTCCCTGGGACACGACAATATTTCCTTGTCCAAAATGAGTGAAATTTTCTCTTTGGAAGAACAACATTTGTTTGAAAGCTACTATGTTTCTACCCCTACTTTGTACCTTGATATTTTTTCCTATCATGTATTTCATCAACTTATTTCCCAACAACATGGTGAATATTGGTGAATATACTATATGAGATTATTATTAATTTTTATATGGACATAAAAAATGTGGTCAACTGTGGTTGTTTATTGTTATATTATGTAGGAATTAATTTGATAAGTATAACAAAATTAAGTTTTTTTTCATATGTAACTAATGAACATCAATATGGACAAATTAACAATTAATTGTTGTAACAAAATCATCAATTGAAGCAAAGATGAGTAAAATAACAAGGAATGAAACATTGTTCTGGTCACCAATCTCCATAAACATCTTTCGAGAAATCTTTCATTGTTATCTCATTATATTTGGTTCATACTTGCATTGAAACCGCTCAGTACAGTAAGTCTGTTGTGTTTGCAGACATAACACCACTTTCACTCAAAGTACGAATCAATGTTAAATGAGATAACGTAAGTACAAAATAGTAAATTAATGCTTGAAAAAGTGAAATATTCCGGACTGTTTGAAACCAGACTAATCAATAAACTAAATAAACCGCACAAAAAGAGATTTCACTGTAAAAAAAAACAAACAAAAATGATCATTTTTTGTATAAATTTTTTTTAGAATTTATTTCTATTTAGTTTATTTCGAAAATTTCTGAACCAAAGTGATCGAAACAGCCTTAAGCGAGGTTTTTCTGTAATTGTATATTTAATGGTGCAACATGTTTACATTTCATATTCAATCACAAATATAATCAAATTTAAACTAAACACAATTATTCCCATTAATTCGTAAATTGTAAATATGTCAGCAAGCTGTTAATGATGAAGAGAAAACGTAAATGTATTATTTCTAAAATCAGCGTTATTAAATTTTGTTGTTCGACAAATTTGTAACAAATGGTTAAATGCAAACGTGCTCGTAATAATGTAGTTCATTGCTTATCTAAAACAGCGAGGTACGGGAAAATCTAATCTCAGCAAAAAAAAAATGTAACTGAAAGTAACTAGAGTACAACAGAATTCAATTAAAACATTTCTTTGTTCGTTCAAAGAAACAATTCTTTTATGATAACTCTTTTTTTTTCTAATATAAATAAAAATTGTACAGTTGTTATATTACATAAAAATTATGATATTGTGATAAAAAAAAAGTGTGCAAAAACATCAAAGAATCAGAGATTTACTATGTAATGTTCTCATTGTAAGTAAACAAAAAAAATATAAATAATGGAAATATTAAGTATTTGAGTGTTGTTGCCAATTGAAGTAAGGTATAACAGTGTCATACTAAAGATAAAAACAGGTAATATTATTAGAACTTAATCACTTTATAAATATATTTTATGAACAATGTCCATGTTTGCTTTGTAATGTAGATAAAATAATATAAAACTATAACATTAAGGTCATAATTATGTCCAATAAATATGTTAAATAAATATTTAAAATAAGAATTGAATAATTTTGATTTATTGTAACAATAATATAAATTCATTATAATAAAAACTTGAATTACACTGCTGCAAAAGTCTACAGTACTTTACTTTATATTTTCACCAAATTAATATAAATTCATTAATAGTTGTGATAATTTCTATTTTTGACTGCGAAAGAGGCTCTTTGATTGGACCACAGCCCCTAAAGACCATGCCTAAATCCGTCCCTGATATCAGACAAACAAAATGCAAAGTATCTTTTGTTAGGTGGCCCCTTTTGGTGCTTAAAAGACGCCACGCAACAAAAGAAACAACACTTTAAAACAGCAAGAATTTGCCAAATATTGCACAATGTTGTATATTATTGTTATCTAGGAATAAAACAATATGAATTAACTTAAAAAAAAACAGTAGGTCTATAACATGATACAAATATACGTTATATTTTGTAGATTATAACCTGTTTTGTTATCACATAAAAACTAGATTACTGTTTCTATTTAAATTTGAAATTTACAGGTCAATAGCCATTTGCTAAATATATACAAAATACTTTGAATTGAATTGAAATATTCAAATTACATTAATTTATTTTGCAATGATTAACAAATATTGCAAAATAATACTTTCAATTTCAATGTAAGAAGATAATACAGTAATTAGTTTTTTACTTATCAATAAAACTCAATTAGATTTTGATTTCATCATTAAGAAAAATAGTTTTTTTTTTCTTTCTCTTGTTCTATTAGTTGGTACGTAGCACGTGTTTATAAAATAAAAAGAACATGAATTAATGTCTCTTTAATTCTTTTAATAATCTAGCCTCTATTATGTTGATTATATAAATTGTCCTTAAAGTGAATGGGAAAAACCGTATACATTGAATAAATCTTAAATGAAACACGCACTGAAATAGGTGGAAACCGAGGGCGATGGAAATTTCGAGTGTATTGTATTTAGATTTAAGTGCTAATCCGGCCCTGATGGCCATCTGTTGCTTCGTTAAACGGTTTAGTTTCCGTTGTACGTCCTCAGCTTGTTCGTGCTGCTAAATTTTCGGCCCGTGTCTCGATGTAAATACACACACAAAATTTAACTGAAATGCACACAAAAACGTTCCAGACACAAGTAAAAAAAAAAAACGAAACCAAGTTATGAAGTCAAGGTTCTAAGATAACGGCTAATTTTTTCGCAAATTTTTCTGTTCAGCCACACGAAATCTCGTCATTTCGCATACAGAATGGAATTGGTGAAGAATTCGAACAATTATGAGGAGATGCACATCATTGGAACAGGTACTGTACATTTTATTTGTATGATCTTCCACTTTTTATTGATTGAAATTATTTGATAGGTGCTTATGGCATGGTGTACAAGGCCCGAGATAAGACCTCGAACAAAATGGTAGCTTTAAAGAAAGTCAAAGTTCCTCTTACTGATGATGGAATCCCCTTGAATACACTCAGAGAGATCGCTTTGCTTAAGCAACTCGATGTGCATGAGCATCCAAACATTGTCCGTCTCCTGGATATTTGCCATGGCCAGAGATTAGAGAAAGAATTAATAATGTTTTTAGTGTTCGAACACTTGGAGTATGATTTATCTATGTACTTGGAGAAGAGGTCCATGAGAAATTTTCTGGAGAAGGAAATTAGGCAAATGTCGAAGGAGATTCTCTGTGGTGTGGAGTTTTTGCACAGCCACCGGATTATACACAGGGATTTGAAACCACAGAACATACTTGTTACAACTGAAGGAAGAATTAAATTAGCAGACTTTGGTCTAGCTAAAACATACGATTTTGATATGAGGCTCACCAAAGTTGTTGTCACCCTCTGGTACAGAGCACCTGAAGTTCTTCTTGAGTTAAGCTATGCCACTCCAGTAGACATCTGGTCAGTTGGATGTATAATTGCTGAATTGTATTCATTAAAGCCATTATTTAGTGGGAACTCCGAAGTAGATCAATTAAACAGAATTTTTAGGTAAAAGTAAAAAAATGTAGTTAGCAATTGAATAGTTAATCAGTTAATGACGTAAAAAAAATCATTACAGAGTGCTAGGGAAACCTTTGCAAAGTGAATGGCCCAAAGAAAACATGTCAATAAGATATGATTCATTTGAAATTCTTGATAAAGTCGATTTGAAAGATGTTGTACCGAATTTGAGCGAAAACGGTTACAATCTGATTATGGTGAGTGGATCATTCTTTCTTCAATTCCATTAATTTTTACGCAATGATTTTTAGAGCATGCTGACTTTTGACCCCATGAAACGGAATTGTGCCTTCAAAGCTTTACAACACGATTATTTCACTGAAGAGCCACTAAACTGTTAGTTCAAACTATTATTACTATATTATTCCTTTTGTATACAGTTTTTGTATTAAATTATTATGAAACAAAAAGAAAACTGTTTGTTTTTGAAAATTTCGATTTTTCTTTGTATTTGAACCGTTCGTTCACATACTTTTCCTAAATTACTATATCATTATATGTGACATTATGTTAATGTATACACTTTTCTTGAATTAGTTTTAGTTTTTATATTAAGATAACTATAACAGTATTTGCCATTAATTTTAATATTGCAGCTATATAGAATAATAAAGATTTTATAAGAAATTTCTTTACATTTTTTTCTGTGAAATGTATTCCATTTGCCCTTTGTCCTAAGGGGCAATAAATGATCAATAAATATGTTTAAATAAATAACATAAATAAACTTCAATTATATTCGATATGTGCACTTGGGTTTCTTTGGAAATTAATTAAAGATCTTTCAAAAAATTACCAATAGTCGAAAATCAATCACTACCATAAACAAATAGTATTAAAGAATGATAAAAACACCATTATTCTTTAGAAACAAATATAGTTCTACATACATTAATTTATAATTAAAAAAAAAACCTTGTATTGGGATGTGAATTGATATTGTATTAATAATTCTTATTTATTAACAATTTTTATTGGCCCAGTCTATTTCTGGATGTTTTTTCATGATTTTGGAATAAGTTCGCTTAACTTTTGTACTAGGTCTCTCCTAACACCTTTGTACTGTATCGCTGAGACTCCGATTTGAAAGCAGTTATTAAGTGTACTCATTCCACCTTTTTTTCCCCCTGAACCCCGGTAACTCAGACTGGATTTGGTAATTCTTCAATTATCAAAAGCAGTGGCTGGCGAAATTGTACAAGATGTGCAAGCTAAGAGAAGTGTGGAGATGAAAAGACAAGACGTTGTGTACTTATAGGGAAATAAGGGACAAGCGGAAACCCACTTTTGATGTGAGGTGTACACCTAGCTAAACAGAAAATAAAACTTTCTCTGCCACTGTACAACTACGTTTTCGGATTTGAACTCCCTTTTCCCCATTATTTCTTTAGCAATAAGAAAAATGATTTCTTACATAAACCATATGTTTTTTTGGTTGCATATCGTAAAACTACAATTATCTGTCTGCTCAAGCTAAGTGTATTGCAGGGAGCAGTGGATGCCTTCCCATTGAAGACGAATCTGTTTGCTCTGTTTTTCCGAACCCTTCCAGCTTGAAAGTACGAATATTAAGGCGAAGAATTTAAGATTTTTTTTTTGTTAAATATCAGTAATACAAAGATTTACATTCATCCTTTGACATTTTATAAATTTAATTTTGTTTCTGAATATTTCATTTATTAATTAAATATTGTTATCTATGGATTTCCCAAATTTCAAGAGTACTAAATTTATATTTTACATTATTTAATTCTATACATAATTTCTCAAGCTGAAATAATACATTTTCTTATTTTGAATAGATTTCTTTACTTTCGTCTATCGACAATTCTTGTTTTTTTTTTTTGATTCAAAGTGATGCCTGAAATAGTTTGTTGTTACATAAATTAAAAGAAAAATGCAAAATAATTTATTAAAACTTATTCGTAAATTCTTATTTGGTACAAGTTCTGATACAGATTAGAAACAAGTAAAACAGGATTTTGGTAGTTTAGCCAAATTGTGTTGCAAAGTGCGTATGCGATCAATGATCCAAGAAAGAGCAAGAACTAGTAGTTCTAAGTACATGCAAGTGGTTTCTGTTCTGTTCGAATGAAGAACGAACGAAAAAGGGGAGACACTTCGTTCCGGTCATTTCCTGCGAAACTCGTCGGACCGGACTTGAATGAATAAAAAAAAAGGGGGAATAATGAACATTAGAATAGAACAGGTCATCTGAGAATTATATTTATAAATGTATCAGATTGCAAACGCACTTTGTAACAGATGAAAATGCAGAAATTCATTGTTTATCATCTAAATACTTGTGGACTCTCTCCAGATACTCCGAGTAGCTTTCGGTTTTAGGCAGATGGCCTCCAGTCTTCTTGTAATGGTTCAAAATGTCGGGATGGCTCTGATCCATGACGATTTTAGCATTTTTGTTGCCCTTCTGCTTCGTGCACACCTCGACCTTGCCTTTACATTTCGACACGATAATATCATCTGGATAGGTGTTCTTCATTCCCCTGTAGGCGACGACGACGGAAATCACAGACCAAACGATGCAGGCCAAGCAGCAGAAGAAAATGTTGGCGTGGAAATGGTCCAACGTCCATGGGAAGAGCATATTTACAGAGCAGGTTATGGCTACCACAGAAGTCAATGTTGAGATCAAGGACATGTAGAAGAACCCGCTTATATGATGGTCGATGTACCAGCGTCGTGACGCCAGGATTCCTGCAACTCCTGCAGTCGTGCATCCCAACGCGCATATGGCCGGAGCAAATATGTATCTGCTTTCCGTCACGAAGGCCAATGCCATCAGAACCAAAGAGATCAGGGACAGCACCAAATGTACAATCGAGAGACCCATCACCATCGACGCAGAGTATCTTCGTTCCGAAGGGTACGCTCCACGAGGATCCGGCTGCGATATGGACTTTATCTTCAGGGTAGTCTCCATCGTTTCTGCATATACCAACAAATAAACAAACTAGAATTAACTGGAATTACGTCATCGTTCGATCACGATGCCTGCGACTTTAATAATTGCATACGGCATTGACACATTCTGAGATTATTTCATCATCTTCAACAACAATATTCTTTAATACAAAATCAGTAAATGTTAAATTATCTATTAAAAAGTATTAATTACATGCAAATGCTCTTAGAAATAACAGCTTAAGCGAAATTGGAGGCAGCAGATTCGGTTTCAATTGCTGATTAAGCGTTGCAAACCAGTTTCTCGAAATGCAAGATCAACACTTGAAAATCCATGTTTAAATCCTGCAGTTTCATCGAAAAATTATACTTCTCTTATAATGGAACACTTTCTATAATAATTTACGTTGTTTAAATATACATTTCTACATATTCATAAATAATTATATTCTAATTTTAAAACGTTTGCCTAAATAATTACAATACGATTGTCACGTAAAAATTTCAAGAACAATAAATTCAATTTCAAATTGGATTTTTTTTATTTCAAGGTTTCTCAATTGAATAATTAATTTATAGTTCGTACTTTTATACTTATGAACGTTAAAACTGTAATAACAACAAAATTCAATAATTATCTACAAAATTTAAATGAATTAAGAATTTTCGTTTTGAATTTTTTTTACATGACGGAAAGTCAATAAAAATTATAAATTCAATTAATAATTTCATGTTTCTATTGCTTTTCCTCTATACATATAAAAAATTACACTACGTTTAAAACTTTGAAACAGTAACAACATAAAAATAAATTTAAAATAAGAAATTTTCTGCTGTTCCTGGTTTGATAAAACTATCAATTTTCGAATTTCGAATTATTCTAAGATTATAACGTGCACAACTGTATTATTCAAATGTACTTTGGTTGAATGCAGTTAATGTTTTTAGTTGAAATGACCTTCAACTCAGTGAGTGTTTTTTTTTTAATTAGTAGTAATTATATTAGCATTGGCAGAAATTGTGAATTATTTCCAGTTTGTTTTGCTGCATTTCTATATTTAACTATAGTAAAATTAAAACTGCAATAATAATAAAAAAGAGCATGAAATTTTTGTTGTGCAATTGAATTAAAAATAGAAATAATTGAAGATTTTAGTTGAAATAACATTTAGACTTAGACTCCTTATTTTAATTAGGAGTAATTGCATTAACATCGGCCGGAAATTGTGAGAGCGTTAATTGAAGAACAATTTTGCAATGTTAGCGAATTCATTATCATAATTGAGGAAGGAAAGTGCACATCGCATTCCCATTGCGCAATCGCTCATAGTGAAAATATAGTGAGCACCGGTTTTTTTTTTAAAGAAAATCTCTTTGAAAGCTAGAGAAAGCGTTTTCATGAATGAAACAAAGAGATTAATTACCTGACTTTCCTTGATTTTGTGTGTTTTCCTAGTTTGTTAATCCCTTAATCCTCGTTGTAATTAAATGTAATCCATGATCGTGGTGAGCCTACTTTGATGATTATGTTGTGTCGGGATGGTTGGCGATGCAACTATGTGTCTTCGTATAGGAAGGAATTCGCGCACGAAGGCACCAAACGTTCGTTGCCTGTTTATGGAGTGTCGATTTGGTTTGGAGTTTGTTGTTGTTACGAGGAGTCTTCGCTTTTGCGATGGAAGTGGAAAACGTTCTGTTTCTCTTGCACTCCTTTTTGCGAACTCAGTCTCATTCCTCTCACGTGGACTTTTCACATGTGAACAGAAATTTATAAATAATAAAAACTGGAAGTGGAAAAAATTAAAAATTAATTAACGCTGAGAATGGCTAAAGCGATAACGTGTTAAGGAAAAGGAAAAGATAACCGAGATTTGCTTATTTTTGCTGTTGTTCGATTTAATGAAAGGAATTTCTCTTACGTTCGTTCATTAACATTTTATTAGTATGCATTATTTCCTAGGTCGTTTGTTGAAATTAATTTATAACTATTATGAGAGTAGTGGAGTTGAAAAGTGTACAAAATAATGTCATGATTTTATAAATACGTTATGTTTTTTTATTTGTCTATACTTAACTTTTTTTTATTAACTATTATAAATTTTATAATAAAATTATTTAGATTTAAGTTATGAAGTACAATTTATTAGGTATAAAGTTCAAACGTTTTTATATTGAAGTATTTTCAGTTAATTTGTCTATTTTCTTAGTTAATTATAAATAATTACATTACGATTGTAACGTAAAAACTTCAACAGCAATAAAATTGGATTTTTTTTTATAATTTTTTTCCTCAAAGTTCTTCAATTGAATAATGAATTTACAGATAGTACTTTTATACATATTTAGAAATGTCAAAACTTAATCCAAAATTAAATAGTAAATTTTATAATTATGTTCATGTTTACTGTTTGAATCAAAGCTTTAGTTACATGAATATATTTTTTTATTTGTATTTTGAATAAAGTGCTGTTTATTTCTAGTGCCTAATTAGTCACAAAGTGTGGGATCGAATTCCGAGTGGTGTTTTGAATGCCATGGAAACTTAATTGTTTGTTTAACACTTTAAGTGTATATTTATATACTAAAATAATTGGTAGGTTTGTTGTTGTTTCAAATTACTACTATATTTTGATTTGAATGTGACGAATAGGATTCCTGGAAAATTTAAATATTTTGATTGAAAATTATTGTTTATATATTATTAATATACAGCCGCATCCATGGACCGTTAATAACTCGAAAGATAATTACATCATCGATCATTCGTATGAAAGCTGAATGTCTCACCTTTCCAACGAGCCTACTTACATCTTCGTGCTGTCATCGAGTCGCCTCCTATGAGCTGCAGAAATTGAAAAAAAAAACACATACTCAACGTCTTATACATAACAGTTAATTTCTCGACAACCCCTAAAGGTAATTATATCATAGACCACTCGTATGAAAGCTGAAGATCTCACCTTTCCAACGCGCTTACATACATCTTTGTAGTTATATCAAGTCGCCTGTTATAAGCTGAAGAACATTTTTTTCTCGTTTTTATTCAGTTTTTACAGTTTTTCGTGAATGAAAACATTTCCAAATCACATATAAACTATATTCACAGTTATTAGTGATTTTCTCGACAACCCCTTAAGATAATTACATCGTCGACCACTCGTATGAAAGCTGAATATTTTGTCTTTCCAACAAGCATACATACATCTTCGTGCTATCATCGAGTCGCCTGCTATGAGCTGTAGAAATTGAAAAAAAAAACACATAATTAACGTTTTATACGTAACAGAGAAACGACGGTTTTCTCGTTTTTTTTCTGTGTTTTCGGTTTTTCATGCATTTCTCGACAACCCCTGAAGATAATTCAATCATTGACCACTCGTATGAAAGCTGAATATCTCACCTTTCCAACGCGCCTACATTAACCTTTGTACTATCATCGAGTCGCCTGTTATAAGTCAAAGAACATTTTTTCTCGTTTTTAATTCAGTGTCTACAGTTTTTCGTGAATTTCTCCACAACCCCTTAAGATAATTACATTATCGACCACTCGTATGAAAGATGAATATTTTTTCTTTCCAACAAGCCTACATACATCTTAGTGCCGTCATCGAGTCGCGTGCTATGAGCTGTAGAAATTGAAAAAAAAAACACATAATTATCGTTTTGTACGTAACAGAGAAACGACTGTTTTCTTGTATTTATCAGTGTATTCGGTGTTTAGTAAAGTTTTTGACAAGTTATTTTTTTTATAAAGAAAACGCGAATTCACAAAGCACGTATTCACTAAAACGTCAACCAAATATTTAATTTATGTTTCTATAGCAACGAGAACAAAATATTTGTAGAATATTGATAATCCATAGATATTATGATTCAAATCAAATAATAAAAAAAAACAATTGAATAAATTTATAAAAATAAAAGAATAATTAAAATTTCTTAATTAAAAAAAAAACAAATTTAATATTTTACTTTATTTTGACCGATTTCATATGAAATTATACGTTTAATGTTTATTTTATTGTATGTTTGCTTGTTTTTGGTACGTGCAGTAAAAATATCTAATGGGTTTTTGCTATCTGCGGGTGTAAATCAATACGAAACTAGTAGCAACATTCGAAACGAATAACAAAACTGGAATGAAAATAATTTTAATGGCATTTCGCAACTAGCGAGTTTACATCGACGAATAATAAACATAAACATTATTCCATTACCTCGACGATATACAAAACAAACAGAAGCGTCGATTTTATACGTGTAATTATTATTATACACAATTATTTTCCGTTACGAAATAAAATTATTGAAATAATATTTACAATTTCAATAAAAAAAACTATTATTTTATGGAAAATTAGTATAATTCAGTATAATTAAGTTCATTTAATTACATTTCTTGAATATTGAGAAATATGTGAAAATTTAGACTTTAAAATGAATTTAGAAAATGTAATCGAATTTCCTTTTTCTTATACTGAATATAAATGTTTTTTTTTCTCTATGACTGAAATTTCAGTTTGTGTTAAATCTATGTACTTTTCTTGCAATGAATGAAACATTTTCAGGAAAATTAATGTGGAAAAGTCCTGGTTTCTGCCAAAAAAAATAAGAGGAAAAGAAGGATTTGCATAAATAGTAATTAAGGCCGCGTTTCTTGCGGTCTCTCCGTTATTTAATGAAACATTCGCAGCGGTAATAAACGTCGGCCGGAGGAGATAAAAATATAATTCGTTATTGTCAGCCGTGCAAAAGTGCATTTATCATCGTACAAATTTACACATCATCCTTTCGCACGCCATTATAAATCATATACCCTTGATGTCGTCGCTCGCAATTTTCCTCCTCTTCAAGCTCAGATAAATACAGAGACAGAGTGGACGAAGGAAAAGAGGAAATTTCGTATCGCAATGCTTCTACTACTTCCATCTCCATCCTCTTACGTATGGTCCATTGCCAAAGTCTTATTTCGGTTCGTCTTTCACGAAAAAGAAAGAAAGACTAAGAAATAAAGGAAACACCGTGGAATTGAGTTAACCTTTCTCTGTCTGTGTGTGTGTCTCAGGCGAACTTATTGTTCGATTGTAATGTGTTTATCGAAAGTTAAATCTTTAAAGTTTTCTCTCTTTCGCCATGAAACTATTTCTCTGCCGACGTTTTCTTTCTTTCTTTATTTTTTTTTCTATTCCGCGCGCGATCCGAACGAAAATTGATGAACATAATTATTGGACAAAGTTTCGCTTCTCTTTCCACCTTTGAATTTATAGCTCGCTCCATCATTGTGTCAACGACAAAAAAATACACATTCATTAATTAGAGCTATTAAAGAAACCAAATAACAGTTAATTCTTGTTTACTGTAACTTTAAAACTATCACATTTTGAACAATTTTCTTCAATGAATATGTTATTTACTTGATAAATGATGAATATTACAAATCTCTATTATTATTTACGTGTTTTATGATGCAATTAAGTTTGTTACTTTTTTTGAATCAATGAATGAATGAATCAATTCATTTGTAATCATGGATAAAACGATAAAATACAACTTTAACAAAATTTGATTTGATTACAGTATTACAGGATAATGATGAAAATCACAAGTTTGTAAATAGGCTCATCTGAAAACTCATTATTTCCTCTTTAATATGCATATCTTATTATATAATTAGTGTACGTTGTAATTGAGTAGTTCAATAAAACATAAAGACGTGAAATAATCTAAAAATTAACGTATTTTAGTCATAAATTAATACAAGTAATAATCATTATATTAGAAGAAGCGCAATAGTTGATTTATTCATATGGAATTATAAAATATTAACAAAACAGAACAATCTTCGAGTTAATTAGTAAAATATTTGGAACAATATTTTCAAGTATTTACAATTTCGATAATTTATTACAGAAAAATTACAAATGTTACATATGTATCTGGAGATACAATGGAAAGGCTTTAGTTTTGTCTTTAATTTTCATATTTTATTATCTAATTAGTGTACGTAGTAATTGAGTAATTCAATAAAACATACAGTGAAAAAAAATCTAAAAATTAACGTATAAAATTAATATCAAGTAATAATTATTATATTAGAAAAGGCGCAATAGTTGATTTATTCATATGAAATTATAAAATATTAACAAAACCGAACAATCTTCGAATTAATTTGTAAAATATTTGGAACAATATTTTCAAGTATTTACAATTTCGATAATTTATTACAGAAAAATTACAAATGTTACATATTTATCGTGAAATACAATGGAAAGGCTTTAGTTTTGTCTTTAATTTTCATATTTTATTATCTAATTAGTGTACGTAGTAATTGAGTAATTCAATAAAACATAGAGTGAAAAAAATCTAAAAATTAACGTATAAATTTAATATTAAGTAATAATTATTATATTAGAAAAGGCGCAATAGTTGATTTATTCATATGGAATTATAAAATATTAACAAATCCCAACAATTTTCTAGTTAATCAGTAAAATATTTGGAACAATATTTTCAAGTATTTACAATTTCGATAATTTATTACAGAAAAATTACAAATATTACATATTTATCGTGAGATACAATGGAAAGGCTTTAGTTTTGTCTTTAATTATCATATTTTATTATCTAATTAGTGTACGTAGTAATTGAGTAATTCAATAAAACATATAGTGAAAAAAATCTAAAAATTAACGTAGAAATTTAATATTAAGTAATAATTATTATATTAGAAGAGGCGGAATA